CGATCTTCTGAACTTCTTTGCAATACAGATGTGGTCGATCTGGTTCTCTGTTATAAGGTCCGGGGACACCCATGTTGCCTTGTGTATCCTCTTGTGCGGAAACACACTGCCTCCAATCACCACGTTGTTTAAAGCACATGCATCTGCAAAGCGCTCACCGTTTTCATTCATCTTACCGAGCCCCTGTCTTCCCATTACTTCATCATACCCTGTGTTGTCCGATCCAATCTTGGCATTAAAGTCGCCCATCAGAATATTGATATCTTGGTTTCTTAACCTGCTGAGGATGTCGTGCAGCTGATTGTAGAACCCATCCTTCACCTCATCACTCTTGTCATTTGTTGGGGCATAACACTGCACTACATTCATCCTAATGTTCTTCCTCGCTGTTCTAAAGGATGCTGTGATGAACCTTGGTCCTCTTGCTTCCCACCCAATCAGGGCTTTTTCTGCCTCTTTCGTCAGCAGAAGTGCTACACCCTCCATATGGAGAGCATTGCTCTCTTCATGTCCAGAATACAACTCCATCTCTCCTGTTGTCAGTCGCAGTTGTCCTGACTGCTTCCACCTGGTCTCAGAAAGTCCCAGCACCACAAGGTTGTAATTGTGCATTTCTCTAGCTACCTGGGCTGTCTTCCGTGACTCAAACATTGTTCTGATGTTCCAAGTTCCGATTTCATGCACCTTCGCGAGGAAAGCCCTTCTTCTCCCAGAACCTGCGGAGTTTGTCGATTCATCATTGGTGTTTCTGTAGCAGCATAGCTTTTACAGGGTAGGGGTGCTAACCCTACGCCCAACCTTCCTCCTTTCCCAGCCGGGCTTAGGACCGTCCATGGCGGAGTTAAAGTGGTTATAGAATTATAATATTAACAGGTCTTATTTGCTACAGTACTAATGGCTTCTTTGTCCTGATTTAGAAAACTGCTCTGGAGAGAATCAAACTTGAAGCAGTTCAAAACTTACAGGTTAGTGTTACAATATCAATTCAGTTTTGTTTTACTAATAAAATATCTAGAATGGACCATTCAACATGAAATAGAAACAATATTTGTTGTAAATACGTACTTATTTAAAGAGAAAAACAGCCATAAGCTGCCTAATTATGTCACAGAAAAATGTTACAACACATTTGCAGAGATATTCCTGAAAGCTCGAAAAATTCTCATCACGCTGGCGTTACCATAGCAACTCTCCCTCGCGTTACCATGCACGAAGGCACTCATGGTACGTGAAACTTGCTAGTTCTCAAACGCTTCGGTTAAATAGGCATATAACGTAGTGATCAAAACTACACAGCTGTGATTAAGATTAAATTGTTTTGTTTTTACTTTCCCAGAACATGACAACAGAGGGCCACAATTGTGAAAGGTAGACGGATCTGAGGGGAAACTCCCAAATAAAAAGGACGGGGGTGCTCCCCTAAGAGGTACCGAGATCCTGTTTTGTGGGTGTGGCTTGGAATGTTTTTCACCCCTAAGAGGTACCAATTCTAAAACGACAAATTCAGGCTAACGATGACTTTTTTCGGCTCAATACCCTAAAAGGTGTCGCGAACGCTCCAGCTGTGGACCTTTCAAGGCTGAACACCCTAAGAGTTACCAAGACCCTTTTCTGAGCCCCCGTCTTTTTTATACAGGAGTCCCAACCCCCTGGAGATGGACATGCTCACAATATCACCACACTCCGATTAAGGTCATTATACAGTATTGCATTGCGCACCCTTACTGCGCATAATTTATGGCGTCATTAGCGCGCGTTCGTGCACGCGCACATTGAAAACATGGTGGATTTGCCTTCATATCGAGTTCTTTCAGTTGAAAAATGGCTATAGCTCATTAACGAACTCGGGGACCCCAATTTTTTTTCCAGTCATTTTAATCAACTAAATCATTAGCTTTTGCATGAGAGAAGACTGATCTGATTTCTATTGTTGAAAATTGAATAAATAAGGAAAATAGCAGCTGCGCTTTAGTCTTTTCTATTTTGCAGTTTGGTAGCCGTGGCAAACTATTTGGTTCCAATATTTTAACAAGGATTCATCTGTCTGTCAAAATCAAACTTAAAAAGTTTATTTGTGTCCGACAGAAGTATTGACTGTAGTTTGAGGCGTGTTTTCATGAGTCTGTACTCACCGAAAGAGTTTACAATAATTTGGAATGCGTTCTTGTAATAAGCATTAAATAACGCGCGCTCATTAAAAAATGGTGGCCTCTTCTTTACGGCTGGACCTCGCCATAGAGGTAAATCGTCATTTTCTCGCAAACGAGTATGGTGACCTATCATTTCTTTTTCCTGTGGTTTTGAATTGAGTAATAAATTTCTCTGTGTAAAATAAAGATGGACCAATTCTCAGTGTAGAACAAAAAACAATCGTCAGAAACGTGAATTTAGCAAGCAATCGTGACTAAAATCATGGTGCTATTATAAGGATTTATTGGGTAGAAACAAGGTGCTGTTGCTCGTAAACGAACATGGGCACCCCTCATTTTTATTTAAAAATTTAAGTTCCTATAATATAAACAATCAATAGGCAAAATTTCACAAAAATCTCAGTGCAGGCTCTATTTCAGTGAAATGACCTTAAGTTTTTTTGTAGTCCTCTGTATTCCATTCAAGATTTTGCTCCTCAAAGCTAACTTGACTGCTGTTCAAAGCTTAGTGCATAACTCTAGTCGTTGCTCTAAAAGATCACTTTGAGAAAGTATTCGTAAGAAGAGATAACACTAAAAACAGGAATCGAAAGAGCCAAAAATCTCACCATCGTGGGCTAGTAATTTCGGTTTCGGTTTCATGAAGCGACTATTCGTAATTGATGATTCTCTATCGGGGGGTCTCTGGTTGGATGCCATCCCATCGCAGTTAAGCCCCAGATGTTTTTGTTAAAGCTTCTTCAATATGCATAGTAATACTCCCGCATGAAAAAGGCAGTGTGTGCGAGATCTCAGCATAAAGACCGCTACACAGCCCTTAGCCAGGGCTAGTATTTATGGCCCGGACAGACGTTCCAGCGTAATATTTCTCGCAATTGCTAAATTGAATCGTGTTTCCGCCCCCTGAAATTGTTGCGTGCGCAGTCGATTGCACGCAAAATTGCTGAAGAAGAATCTTGTTCTACCCATACAATTTTTCGTGTAGCAGTTTCACAGGATGGACAAAGGAGTCAAAACTCTCGCGCGGACTATCGCACGGAAATGTTGCACCGTGTGTTTGGGTTTGAAGTAACATATCAAGCACGAAAGACCGTGTTTTACAACATTTTCAAACATTGAGAAGAGAGTTGAAAATAAAACGCGTAGCGTAGAGGAGTATTTTTGACGAACTTCGAAGTGTTTGGTAATGTGGTTAAACATTGTCTTGAGTGTTTAATAAATCTTCTCAATCGAAACTAAAACTAAGGAGAAAACGGAGAAATGAAATCGTATATAAAATCTACGGTAACTGACCATCACGATTATGATTTCCTTTGTTTAAACTTCATAAATTACTAACTAGTTTAAGAAGGCTGGTTCCATTTGAGGCGTTACGATCACTGCAATCGCCGCCTAAAAAGGTGAGCAATGCTTACAATTATCGATTTTCACGATTTTATATGATCACCACGATTGGTACAAATCTTGAAATAGAACTTAAAAGTCTATCTCAGCGATTGCTGTCACAAAAATCGCTACCTAGAATCGCTATGTATATCGCTGAAGAGTGGTTTCCATGTTATCACAAGGAGCACTGAACTCTTTTTTGGTAGCAATCGTGACGGTTGTATGGAAAACCAACCTTCAGACCACTGGTGTACGGATGCAGACTCGTTCTCAGTCGCTATTCGCGGGTCAGATTAGATTCTTTCAAAGAAAAGCGGTCTGCATCAAGTGGAGCGCGCGGGGAGTTATGGGAAGAGGTGAGAAAAAACGCGCGCGATACACCCGCGCGCCTTGATCCACCCTAGTAT